TCAGTGAATGCATAAATAAGTGGAAAAACAAGTTGATGTTTTTCCCTCTCTCTCTTCCTCTCTCTCTCTAAAACTCAATAAATAAAAAGAAATTAGTGAGGGGTAAAGAGCTAACTGTAGAATTCTTTTTATGCTTTTCTTGAAACAATGCTCATAACCCACTGCCTCAAATTCACACTAAAGTGTAAATGGTTGTCTTGGGCCCTTGCCTCATAGTAGACAGGACAGTGATGATAGTGGGGTCAAACAAGAGGGTACTGACCACCAAGAATAAAGATAGAGGGAAAATATATGCCACAAAGAAGAGGAACCCCTGCAAGTAAGATAAGACACTGTTAGCAAAAGCAAACTTGTTCCATGTTGCATATGATGGGACAGCAAGAAACTGTCGCCTGCTGGTTTTCTGCTTCCTGGAGGTCTGACCCTTTGCTTTCCAGAATCAAACAGCAGGTTTGGCCCTTTGACTGAAGCTTCCCCTGATTGCTCATTAAAAGTAACCATTCAGTCCTAGTGAATTGATGTACTTTGCACCAGCCTTTGGAGGAGGCTACAGATCAAAAGGTTCTAGAGGAGTGTTTTGAAAGATGCCGACCCCAGTCCCCACTGCTGAGAGCTGTGTGCGCCTGGCCCTGTCAGAGAAGGGCAGGGCCCTCTCCGAGGGGCCCGCTGACTCACAGAGGAAATCACCGTGAGGGCTGCACCAAAGAAGCCACCTGCATTTGTCATCGATGTTGGTTCTTTGTCTTTAGAGACATGTGAAATGGGCCAGTCACTCCCTTTCCAAAACTAGAACACAGAATAGAAGACTGTACTCAATAAAGACAACAAAGATGAGAAAGACATCGAGTCTACAAAGGTGAAAGGAAAACCCCGGTTAAGACAGACAGGAGCATGGAAGAGGAAAGCGCACACACACACACACACACACACACACACAGAAATAAAACTGAGAGGGAAAAACAGGCAGGGACGGCCGGATAAAGAGAGAGAAACCCCAGTACTCACCAAACCCTTCACAGGAAAGCTTATCTCGCTGCTAATCCTGCTCAGCACGGAAAATAAGCCACCACTAGATCGAAACCTTCACAGCATTTGTTATTCAGAAAGCCCCCTCCTTTCTACCTAGGTTCCGGAAGTCTCTGGTCCTCACTTGTTAAAGAAGAAAATCTGCTCCTTATTCCAGCAAGCAGCTAGTGTCGAAATTCACTTTTTCAGAGACCAAGTTCTTCTGCAGTTATAGAGCAAAGTCCTTTAGGCCCATTTATGCCTAAAGCAGTTTCCGGCCGCGATGCACTTTTACAGCCATCGGCATCGTTGATACCTGTCTCTGCATTTCCCTCTGCGGACAGCACAGGTGTGACTTCCTATGTGGAGACACGGAGCCAGAACTGTGTATTTGTGCACAGCACAGGGTCTATTTCACCAGCCACAGAGGCCTCAAGAAGTTTGGGGACATGCATGAGCCAACGTGCAAGAGGCAGACAGAATGTGCTGAAGCAGCAGCAGACGGACTGGCGAGGGGTCTCTGTTTCCTGAGTGATGTGCCAACGTCACGCTGAAATGGACGCCCACAGCGTGTGCCACAGGGAGTCGCACGCTTACAACTTAGTCCATCACGGTAGGGCACGAGCCTGCAGTTCCCGCCCCCACCAGTGGGACGTTGTGTGTGGCCCACGCCTGCCCGACCTGGCGAATATGGGCTGTACCAGGAAGACGGGGTGTGGAAAGCCCAGGGTAGCCAGCGACGCACCCCCTCGGTGTGCCAGGCCTGGGGACCCAAGGAGGACTCGGGTGTGGGGACTGTTTCCTCAACTGTGTGGCTCAGTTGGTGGGGACGTCATCCCGTAAAGTCAGAAGTCACCTGTTCGATTCCCAGTTGGGGCACATGCCTGTCTAGGCTGCCCCGACAGGGCGTTTATGAAAGGCAATTAGTTGATCAATGTTTCTCTCTCTCTCTTTCTCTCCCCGTGCCCCCAAAACCAATAAGCATGTCCTCAGGTGAGGATAAAGGGAAAAAAAAAGATATCCATTCAGTGACTTGTGTGGAGATCAACCACACCGCCCTCCTGCACAGACTGTTACCCAACCAAACGACACATTCTACTGTAAGAGGTGCTGGGACGATCGAATCTTTAGCATGATGGGCCTGCGTCTTTATTTTCCTACGATTACGTGTCCACAGAGGGCCAGCTCCTGGGCTCCAGGTCAGCACAAACCCTGATGGAGCCACGGGGCTGCCGCTCTCAGGGTGGAGGCCCGGCTGAGTGGGGACCGTGAGGAGGAAGGGAGACGGGCCACCCACCGTGACTGGAGCTGGCACACGCGGACATGCAGACATCCAATAGGATAGAGAGAGAAGGACGTTCTCTGCGATGCCTTTTATAACAGAGGACGTAACCCCAGTGTCGGTCAGTAGGAGGCAGGATAAACCATGGCCCATCGCTCCCACTGAAACACGGGACTGTGAGCTGTTACAAAGGAACGACGCTCTCATCCACTGAGCTGAGATCTCCAAGATATGTTCTTTCTTTTCTTTTTAACCCTCATCCAAGGATATGTGTATCGATTTGAGAGAGAGAGGAAGGGCAGGGGGTGTGGGAGAAGCATCAATGTGAGAGAGAACCATTGACCGGTTGCCTCCCCTACACATCCCAACTGGGGATCGAACCTGCAACCTAGGCATGTGTCCTGACCAGGAATCAAACCCACCGCCTTTTTTCTGGTGTACGGGATGACGCTCCAACCAACTGACCCACCCAGCCAAGGCTCCAAAATATTTTCTTAAATGAAATAATAGCAAACAATGGCAAGGCACAAAACAGTGTTTAAAGTATGCTGCCTTCCATGCGAGAAAGGGATAAAAATGAGAATATGTATTTAGAGGGGCTTGACTCTGCATAAAGGAACACAGAAAGGATTTTTTTTAATTGGTCGCAGGCCAGTGAGCAATGGAGTAAATTTTCACTGCAAACTTTCAGTTAATTTAATTTTTCAACGGTGTGTATTCAGAATAATAAAATAGAGTGGTAACACAAAGCTCTATAAAAGAGGTGCCATTTTCATTATATAGATCAACTGTTGAAAAACAATGATGATAATTTTTTTAACCTAGAGTAGAGGCCAACGCAGCATGGAACAAACCTCAATCCTGGCCACGCCCTGATTCACCAAGTACTGGTGACGCGGCCTTGCTCCTGGGTGAGAATTCTCTCCTAATCTCGCCACCTGCCACGGCGGCTCAGGGCCAGCCCTGGCTTAGACCCCACGGCCACAGGTTTCGGTGGGGCACCCACTGTCTGCTTGTTCAGGCTCCTTGCGGTCGACCGGCTCTTAGGGCCCATCCCAAGCGCCTGGCCCCTCCGGGAAGCCGGACCCCGCGGCCCCTTTCAGTTCTGCCCACTGAAAAGCCCGCCCAGAACCCGGCACAGGGGAGCACAGGCGGCGATACTGCGATAACGGGGCGCGGTGCCAGGTGGGGGCCGGATGTGCGGGACGGGGTGGGGGGGGGGTCGCTCTGTCAGCTACATACATGGCTAACCACTCCGCTGCACACCAGAAACCAACGTAATGTCGCATGCCAACTGTAATTGTACGTTAAAATAAATAGATACATTTTAAAAAGAGGTAACAGTGATATGGATTAAAAACAACGACAGCAAAACCCACCACCTCCGCGGCCGGGCTCACGCGCAGGGCGGCCCCGCGGCAAGGTCCCCCGAAGCAGGGGGCTGGATTCCGCAGGTCAGTGCGGTCTGTTTCCTACACCCCAGCCACCGGCTCCCTCCACTGGCAGCGGGCACTCACCATGGAAACGCTCAGGCCTCCGTTCGGAAACCCTCTTTTCTCCTGCCTTAAAACTATTCAAAGGGAGATCTATCCAAGTGATCAAGTCAAAGGCACTCATTAAATACCTTTTCCAAAGTGAAAACATTGCTAACGAGGAGCTGTTAAAAGCTTAGATGGGCTTCCGTGAGACACATGCGAAATTAAGCAAAACATTTAGCGGGGAGTAAAAAGCTCACTGCGCAGTAGGCAGGACAGCAAAGGTCCGCTGGTCCCCCCCCCCCCCCCCCCGCGCCCCCTACCATGAGCCCAGGCGCCAGAGCTGAGGTTTTGGGGAACGGTGCACATATTTGCCTGCCGCGCCCGACTTTGTTCTCACTGCTTTATCCTCGCCCTCCATGGGTTCTGGCTAAGGGGATATTTGCTACAGTCTTTCAAGGAGAGAACGGTTAGAGGCATTTAAAACAAAGTGCCCTGTGACTTTCAAAAATCAGAAAGGTTTCCAGCGGGTTGGGAACAGGTTTTGCCAGCCAAGACAAGGAGGGGGAACCTCCTGGAAGAGAAAAGGTTAGTGGGTGCGTGTGTGTGCGTGTGGATGCTGAGCCTTTGTTTGTTTCACTGGGTTGCACCGGGCACAGGTTTGTCTCCTCGTGGCCTGCATTTCCAGTTCCATATTTTGCAGCTGCCACTGGATGGCGGTTTGGAAACCCAGCGACTTCAATTCAGAACCACGCTGTCCCCTAAAATGTCATTATTGTTCAACTCGGCTGCGAGGCCCTGGGATCAAGAGGGCTTAGGGGATTGAGAGCACCCGGCTTCTATCAGCGCCCAGCTTCTATCAAGGGGAACCAGGTTTCTGACACTTGAGGTTAGAACGTACAAAACAAAACAAAATACACTATTTCCAAAGCTTAACTGCACCCGATTGGAGGGACGGAATATGGAAGGTTGGGAAAGGGAGAGTCTTCTTAATCCTGAAATCCCAAACCTGTGAAAGGAGTCTTGGCTAGAAAGATAGGATCCTTGTTTTCTTACTAATTATAAAAGCGTCTCTTAGGACAGTCCCTAATTGTACAGACATGGCCATTTCATAGGCAAATTACATCTACTGAAGGTAACAACAGTCGGTCCAGCCTAACAGCTTCATCTGATGTTACTCATGACACCAACACACCCGCCCTGCCCCCAAACAGACAGGACCGTCCCCAGTTACTCACCGAGACCCCCCTGACAAATGTCTGTGCGTGTGGCTCCACCAACGATAAACTGGGGGCTGGGACACAATTCCTGAAAGCAATTTGGGGCAAAATACAAGTCGTCAGATACCCAGGGATGGTGGCAATGGGGGTAAAGACGATTTCAGGGTCAGTGAATTCAGACCTCGAAGCAACCGAAGGACCCGCCGATTGTGCGCCCCCCATGCTATTGCCGAAGACCCCCCTCTCTCTGCTTCCGTAGTTTCACGCGCTCTTCACTTTCCCCTCACCTCTCCAAATACCCCTTCTCAGTCTCCGCCAAGGGTTCCTCTGCTCAGCTCACCCCTAAGAGTCAGGGACCCCCAGCCACATGCTCAGCCCCCTGCCGTGACCCCGCTCCATCCCGCAACAGCCTGCCCTAAGCATCCTCTCCTGAGGACGCCACCCCCACCGCGGCTTCAGCTCCGAACTGTGGAACGCGCTGACCCTTCCCAACCCACCCCCTTGAGCTGTTCAGCCAATTACCCGTGTCATGCAGTTTGTGTGATATAAGCCCTTTAGACTCATGTCCAATAAGTCTACCCAGTTCTGCTAAAATTTCGAGTTCGTCTTGGAAAATCAAGTGGCTTTGCAAAGGCCAGAAACGAGTTCCAGTGTTATAACCAGATGGTGCTAAGAGGATTATAAGTAGATGGAATGTTCATTTTACTATGTTATTCTCAATATAATTCAGAATGCACCCCCTCCCCCCAGGAAAAAACAACCGCAAATGCCATGACTAACATGCATCTTTCAGGGGCCACAGACTGTCCTCCGCTTTGTAAGGAGATGGCATCTCAGCACTGTGCCCGAGAACATTCCCAAAGTCTTCTCTAGGTGGCTACATTTCTTTTGCCACTCAGGTCAGAGATACAAAGCAACTTGGCAGCCAGAGGGGTTTAAAAGAGGCCCAGAGGCTCCCACCTCCCCACCCTTGGGAAGCTATTTTCTTCTTCCTGAATAACAATCATGTCTCTTTAGCAGTAACGTTGACTACAACCTGGTCAGGGCAACAGAACCTGTTACTCGGGCCTGCTCATATCAGCCTCTGATGAATGGGCGCAAGGGAAACACGGGTATGGGTCGGGATCCAAGGCAGGAAGGGGCTTCAACTGCACATGCTCAGTGGCGAGGGCCACTGGAATCAGGGCTCCCCGGGGGCATTAAACCGTAGCCGACAGCCCGCGTTGGGCACTTTGGGGGCTCTGGCCGTGCACGTGCGGGAAGCCCGGCGCTGCTGCCACCTCCTCCATGGTCACATCAGTGAGACCACGTGCTTAGCCCTGACGTCCATTCTCACGACCACTCTGCGGAGGGGGCTCCTGTCCCTGAGGTTCAATCACTAGACAAGGGTCCCCGAGTGGTAGGTCGTCGACATAGGTTTTGGGAGGGCGGCTCCCCATTCTCTGCCCTTGAGTCTGGGGGGGACCGGTGACAGCACCCGGGAGCCCCTGCGTTCCATCTGCATTCAGGGACCCGCAACCCCCCGCCCCCGCTTGCTGGCCCTGACGGAACCACGACACAGTGCATGACCTTACGCAGCCCTGCAGCTGTCCGCGGGACGTCCCCATTTACACCCAGCATCGACCCGCCCGTGGGCCCTGGCCCGGGGGACCACCACGCAGGCCGTGCCCGTTCCTGGCCAGGCACTGTGCCCGGAGCTTTACCTCTAGTCCTCACACCAACCCTGAACAAGTGGCGAGTAGCACCATTTTACAGATGAGAAAACTGAGGTCTGCAGACCTGTCCATGACCACACGGGCAGAGCCAGGATTCAGCCCTTACTTGCCTGGTCCCAAAACCCATGCGTTCTCTTCCCTCCAACCTCCCTCCTCCGAAAAAGGTTTCTAATAGGAGAGAGGTGTCCCAAACCACGGGGCCCAGGAATTTAGGACCCAGAGCCACGCCTCCTCCCTCACTACTTCAGACACTAGACAACAAGGCCGGCTCCTTACCGGGGGCCGCTTCCAGACAATGCCTTGCGTTTGCGGGGAGCCGGGTCCCAGATCCTTGTAACCCAAGGCCGATGGGCACGCTGGGAACTCTGGGTCCTTAAAGAGGACCCCTGAGTCCAAGCACTGCTGCCTGAGGGTCTCAAAGTCCTGGCCCCGGTATCTGACGGCCTCCTGGCTGGAGCCAAGGCCTTGAGCGGCCGCCCGCTGCTCACAGACTCGGGCTGCCGGGGATGCCATGGACGTGCGCGGGTGCCTGCGTGAGGGAGGCAGGAGGGCAGGGCGGCTGGGTGCTCTGCGAGGCCGGCCTGCTGCAAGGGGAGCTATAAGGCAGGGTGGAGGGGAGGTGGGGCAGGCAACCATTTCACCCGAGGCTCTGCTTCATGGGGAAGTGAGTCACCACTTGGAGCAAATACGTATCCAAGGTGCAAATGAATGCACCCCACCTTCCCTGCCTTCCTTTCAGCAGATTTGGAGGCCAGGAAGCTCCTGGGGCCCCTCCCAGGCCATCAGCCTAAGAAATTCACTAGGCTCTCCGCTGCCCCCACGCTTTGCAAGACCCACTTGCTGCCCCCAGGTGCTCAGGCTGAGATGAGCAGCTGTCAGCAGCTCGAACAAGGGCTCCCCGAGGCTTTGTGGTTCCAGCCAGGGTGAGGACAAGGGATTCCGCGGGGTCTCCTTTCTTCCCAGAAAAGTTTGGCTCCGTATTTGTGAGGTAGATACAGATGTCAGAAAGGGGCGATTCTCACAGAGGGTAGAGCAAGCCTGGTGGGACATTGTTGCAACCGCACGTGAGCTTTTGACCTTTGCCTGCCTGGCCTTCTATCTCAGCTCCACCTGCAATTAGCTCTGTCACCTTCAGCGAGTTGCTTAACCTCTCTCCCCCTTAATTTTCCCATCTGTAAAATGGGAGATAATAGCAGGACCCACCTCTTCAGGTTGTTTGGAAGAGCGATGAGACAGGAGATGCCACTTGCTTAGATTAGTACATAAGAAGCGCTCAGTACACGTCAGCTCTTGTTACTCCTGGGGATTGGGGCCCTCGGTTCTAGCCTTGGAAGGGAATCATGGGCTCTGGGACCTTGTATTGATCCTTTCTCCTGTGGTCCCAATCCCCTAGGCCTGGTCTACCCTGAGGACATGGACCACATCAGTGATTTTTTTTTTTCCGATGTGTTGTCCCTCTTATTTTATGCATTCTTGGGTTGATTCTTGTATGTGCCCTGGCTGGGGACCAAACCCACAACCTTGGCACATGGGGACGACGCTCCAAACAACTGCGCTCACCCCCCAGCCAGGGCCAACACATTAGCGATTCTGGAACCTTAGTGCATGGCGAGCTGGAAAAGGGTCCCCAGAAGTAGTGAGTCCTAATCTCTGGAACCCGTAAGCAATGCTTCCTGTGGAAAAGGGATCTTCATGGACACAATCAAGTTAAGGACCTTTAAATGGGGAGATGATCCTGGCTCTAAATGTGCTGCAGGTGTCTGCCTAAGACAGAGGCACAGGGAGGCCTGACAACAGACTAAAAAGGCGAAGGCAGTGGGTCCACAGAGGCAGAGGCTGGAGGGGCGTGACCTCCGGCAAGGGACGGCCTGCAGCCACCAAAGGTGGGAAGAGGCGGGGAAGGCCCCTCCCCTAGAATTGCTGGAGGGTGTGCTGCGTTGCCCGCACCTTGATCTTTGTGTTTCTGGCCTCCAAAACTGTGAGAATGTGTTTGCGGTGCTTCAAGCCCCCGGGTTGGCGAGCGCTTGTTCCAGCAGCCACAGGAAGCTCCTACGGGGGCCTCAGAGGCCCCTGCTGAAGCTGCTGCCTCTCTGAGTTCCTAGCACTGTGTCCCCCTCCCCAGGGAGGTCTGACTCCGGGGGCCAGCGGGGAGGCCCAGGAGTCTGCAGTTTTTAAACTATTATCTCAGAGATAATGCTAGTGCCCGGGCCCACAGGCCACGCTCTGGAAGCTTTGGGCCTTGAAGCCCCCGTCCCACCCGCCGAAGCCAGTGACACTCTTGTGTGGGGAGCTCAGCTCGGGGGGCCGATGTGTGCAGGCACGAAGCAGGCTCGGCTCCTTGGGCACCCAGGATAAAACCGATTTCTCAGGCTGCCTCAGAAAGGCGAGGCCAGAGTGCCCTTCAGAGGCTCCAGCACACGTGGGAAGGACGGGGCCGCGGCCCTGGCCCCCGGGGGACCCCAGCTCAGCACCACTTCCCCTTGATTTAGGCCTCGGCCCCCGCTATCAAATTCGTCCAATGTCCACAGCTTCACGTTCACCGCCCCCAACGTTGCTGGTCTCCCTTGGGTGGCCCCATTCTCCTTTAAAACCAGAAATAGCACCCCGTTCAAGGAACACAGAATCCTCTTAAGCACATGGGGTTCCAGGAGAAATCCAGCAACTCTGTGGGAAAGGAATGGATGTTTATTTTTATCTTGATCTACCGCCTAATTATCTGAGGCTGGCGATTGACACCCGCGAGCAATGTTAGCTCAGCCAGAGTGGTCATTTCAAACGGAAACCTGCCCATGCTGGGGGGTGGAGCTGGAAGAAGGGATGGAGGGGGATAAATGATCATGGGAAAAGTACAATTAAAAGAATCTGACCTTGTTGCTCCTAAGCTTCAAACCCCCAAAGCCAACCGCTGCTCTTAGGAAAAGAAGGGGAGGCGGTTCGGCAGGAACCCTAAGCAGGCCGGCCCCTTCCGCCCTCCCCGCCTCCCGGCTCTCCTTTGGGGCCTGCACTGTGGAGCTCCGTGCCGTTCCGGGGCCTTGCGCCTGCGGTGCCCTCTGCCAGAGAGGCTCTGCTGCCTGCCCCAGGCCCTCTCAGCCTTCAGACCCGAGTGACCCCCCGGAAGGCCTCTGGGCCCCTGCATGAGTCACCCCCTCCTACGTGCACCCCGAGCTGCCAGGCCCTGCCCGGCAACGCTTTAGGTGACGTCACTCTGCCCCACCGGCCTCTGAGCTCTGCCAGGACGGCTCATCGCGTATTGCTGGAGCCTAGAGAGCTCGGGGCGCGCAGTAAAGACTGGGTCCTATTTGTTGAGCGAATGAGCACCCACAAGCAGGAGAGGCCTCGTGGCTGGACATATGCACCCCAGTAAATGGGCCTGGCATGGCCAGGTATGGTCATTAGTTAATTGGCAAAGACCACCCGGGATGTTGTCCCTGCCTCTGTTCCTCCCCTGTGCCTCCCTGGAATGTACCCTTTTGCCAAAATGAACCAGCCCTTCTTCCATCCAATCTCAGAGGGACGCCTCTGGGACTTGATCTCCTCCCCACCCCCACGGCCTAAACACCCTCGCCCATCACCTCCAGATCCGGCACAAACAAACCTTTCTCCCTTAGGCGGGCAGGTCTGAGCCGTGCAAATAGGGCCGCCGTTTCACGAGTCACAAAGAGCAAAGCCGGTGGAGGCAGGACCCGAGACCCATCTCAGGACCAGTCTCTGCTCCCCGGGCCCCTCCTGAGCCGAGGCGAGAGCCTCCCTGGCATCCAGCCGGGCACCCAGGAAGAAGCAGCCTGCGCCCGCTGGCTCTGCCAACCTGGACAGGGGTCGCCTCAGCCTCATGCCCCAGACACCCGGGGGCCAATGCCAGCTCCCCTCCGGGAAGCCCAGGACCCGTGACCGAGGCTGATGAGGCTGGGCACAAACACGCCCAGGGGCCACTGACTACAGATGAGGACGCTCAGGCAAACAGCACAGGCGAGCGCAGCTCCCCACGCCCCCATGCCCACCCGTTGAGCTTCGTCCACGGACTCCTGTCCTCAGCTGGAAGCACCGAGGCTGGGAAGGTAAGTCACGCAAAGGCCCAAGGGTGCGGCTCAGCCATCAGAACCTGCTGGGCTCGTTGCTGCGCACAGATGTAACTCTGGGAGAGGGTGAGCGAAAGCGGGCGGCCGCGTTCTCACACTTGGCCTTCCCGTTTCGGAATTCTAAGCCAAGCAGGAGGGGCATCTGATGTCAAGAGTATTGCAGAGTTCTCATGCATCGCTGGTGGGAAGGTAAAACGGGCAGCCGCGTCGGAAAGCATTCTGGCAGCTCCTCAAACTGTAATTCCTAGTACCATTCCACTTCAGGGGGTTGAAAGAATTGAAAATTCAAGTCCACACAAAAACTTGTACTTGAAGCCTCCTAACAGTATTATTCATTATGGCCAAAAAGTGGAAAGAACCCAAATGTCCTTCGATGGGTGAATGGATAAATCAAATAAGGCGTGGGCGTGCAGTGGAATATTATACAGCCATGAAAAAGGATTAAATATGCTACATGCCACGACATGGATGAACCCTCAAAACATGATGCTAAATGAAAAAAGCCAGGTACAAAGGCCACACATTGTATGGTTCCAGTTGTAGGAAATATCCAGAATAGGGAAATCCATAAAAACACACCAGAAAAGGAATGATAAACACAAAGATCAGGATAGTTGTCTTTCCCATCTTGAAGAGGGATAGATTGGGTGGCAGAGGGGAACAGAGAAATGGAAGTTTTAGGTAATGTTTTCACTCCTGGGTGGGGTGGTGGATTCCTAGGAGGAGTTTATTATACTATTAATAAGAAATTAAGGAAATTAAAGAAAGCCAAGCATGAACTAATGATGAGAATGTGTCATGAATCAAGAATTATAATTAATCCAATTTTGAACTTCAACAGTGGGGGAAAAAAAATTCCCACATCAGGCAGAGGGGGAGATGTTTACGGGATGGGACTCCTGCCCAGAACCCTGGAATCCGCCGACGGTGCTGCGGCCACCGAGCCGGGAGTCCAACGGGACGGGAGGAGGCTGTGCACGGCCCGTTGGTCCCCTCTGCCGCGCAGACTGAAGGGGGCAGCCACATCCTCCTCCCCAGCTGCCCCGTCACTAGGATAAAGAGAACGCCGACTTTTCCACTGGGCTGTCAGAGGGAAGGCAAAGGAGGAAGAGCCAATCACAGGCGCCCGCTGCTTCCCACCCCCTGCACACTTTAGAGGACCGGCCCAAGCTGGCCAGGGATACCCGGGTGGCTGCTAGGACTTCCCGTAGCACTTTCTCAAGGGTGATTACAAAGCGTTGATGTAGCGCGTGCCCATGGCTGTACATCAACACATGTCCTGTCCCGTGTTTCTCCTAAGTGTCTCGGAAGTTCTCTCCAGCCCCCGAGCCACGGCTTCGCTACAGTTCTGTCGCCCCCCCCCCCCCCCCCCCCGCCGCGCAATCGTCACTCTCACCTTCCAAATTTCTCAGCTCCTTGCCATCTCCAGTCTGATCC